TGAATGAAATGAAACTTTTAACGTAAAATGCCGGGTCTTGGGGCCTGGGCAGCACATCGCACGTAACTCCAACGCGTTTCTGCCGCTGTTGTTGTGGTTGCTGTTGCTGCTGCTGTCTCTCGGGGCATATTTTAATTTCTTTAGTGCTGCTCGGAGACATCGTTGCTGTTGTTGTCAATAGTTGCGCTATACTCGCATGTGGGACGAAAATGTATTTTTATGGCAACATCGTTTGATTTTATTTTGCAGCTCTGCTTCACTTGTGTTGTTCTTGTTGTTGCTGTTGCTGCTGCTGCTGTTTTTGTTAATATCTCTCGTGGAGTCTTTCTTTGCTGTTGTTGTGGAAAAAAAAATAATAACAATAATGCAGACCATAAATTTTGCACAGGCGTTTCGGATGTGCGCGAGTTTGCGGATTGCCCGGCAACAAAATTGTAACGACGAGACAAAGGCCCGGCGGCTTCTCAAGAGCGGACGCACTGCAGCACAGCCCACAAAAATTGAATTTTATTTCATTCGCTATGCCTCGTACAATGTTGTTGCTGCTGCTGCTGGCCATATACAAATTGACCTTTTTGGGAGTTGTTTGTAGCATTTATTTGGCTGGCTTTTATCTTTAAGATGCTTGCGCATGCGCAAGTATGTGTGTGTGTGTGCGAATATGTGTATGTATGTGTGTGTGTGTGTGGGACTGCTGACATCACACAGGAAATTAGCTGAACTATAGCTGGCTATAGCTACTGTTTTCGCCAGAGTACTGAAGCAAATATCATAAGAAGCTAAGAAAGATAGGAAGTTGAGGGCAGAGAGCAATGTACTTGTATTATGTATTCTAAAACATGTAGACTGAACCACAGCTTTTAGATATATGTATATGTACATATGTACATACATATATGTATATATTTGCATTTATGTACATATGTACTACTTACCCAATATTGAAGGCGCAAAGCTGCGTTTTTCACAAAGCCCGCAACAATTAACCGCAAATGAGACGACAACGACAAAAAATAACCAAAGCAATCAAACACAAATCACAAAACAAAAGATATGCAGAGACCATACAAACAGACAAATGTACATATGTATGTATGTATGTAAATACGTCGCAGATCACAACAACAAAAAGGAAATCACACACGCGCGCGTTTAATGTGCAGAATTTTAAAATACAAACTATAGTGAGATATAAGATATAGATCTTAGCTATACACAAACAGACATCGAGACAAAGGTATGTATGTATGTATATACATATATCTATAGATACATATGCATGTGTGTGTGTACAATAGCATGTGAAGATACGCGAATATTTGGCGACCGTCGCGACAGTCTCGTTATCCGGGGCGATTGGGGTTTTGTTGTTCAGTATAGACGCCGGCGCCGGTCACAAATATTAACTGTTATTGTTGTTGGTGCTGTTGTTGTTGTCAGGCACTGTCTATTGCGCATGCGCAACGATAATTGGGAATTTTAAAGACAAAATAATGCGCTTAAATGGATCGTAACACATAGTATCAATGCGATTTGATACTGATTTTTAAAGAGCGACGATGAAGTCTTTTTCTGTTGTTCGTTGATAAAGATCGCAATCGATCGATTGATCAGTATACAGTTCGCCGATGATGATAATGATGGATAGCAGTAGTACAGACACGATCGCGATCGCTCGCTTGCACACGCACACACACACACATATATATATATATATATATACAGACGCTGGCACAGTCGCGTAGGTAACGCCGTTCAGACTCAAACTAAGTGAAAATTGCAAAGCGGCGCCGGTTTTATTTGAAGGAAATCGTAGCACACGATTGGGGAGCCACAGCCACAGTCAGTCGCTACTGCTGCCGCTGCCGCCGTCTCTGCCATCGCAGACGAGCCGAATGACGACAAGAACAACAACAGCAACAACAATAACATTGACGATGACGACGAGCCGGAGCCGAAGACGTTGTTTTTGTTATTGTCGTTTCATCGCTTAGACGAACACGCGACGCCAGCAATGGCAGCGGCTGCGGCAGCGGCAGCAGCAGAAGTTCATACTGACCTGTGCATTGTTGTTATTGGTAGTAGTTGTGGTGTGTGCTGGTGAGTAGCGTCGTTGGCGCCCTGAATGGGATGCAACGTCGGCTGCCATTCATGATAATGATGATGATGATCTGACTGTCGCGCCATCAACTGCATGCGACCCCCTTCTCCAGCAGCAAGACCCTAGAGAAAATATCGACAGTGACCCTGTCCCTACGTCCAGTTATTGTTGTTGTTGTAGCAAGTGGCGCCAAATCTGTAGAGCCATTATCTGATAGAGATTTGTCTCGGTAATGGGAAACCACCCCTTTGGATGACAGTAGAGAGGAGGCTTCAGGTGGTTAGGCAAGCTAATTTAAAATTTAAAAATGCTGTATAGTACTTACTATTGCTATCTCACATACAAGTATATAAGAAAACCCCTGTTCTATTAACATACTCATATAATTTGTAATTAGGGTGCTTTTCATAATCTTCGATGCTAGAATCTGTTCAAAGCAAACTTTTCACTTAAGCAATTTTAAAAGATAGTTGATCTGTGAAACTTTATAGCTCAGTTGAGACTAAGCGAAGATCGGAGGGGATTATAGAAGCGGCTGATTCATAATCTCCACAAACCTCGGTTCTATTCTGAAGTGGTCCAATACATACGTACTTAGCTTGGGTAAAAAATGTTATGGGGATAAATAAAACTAAATTAAATGTACATATATAAAAAATATACTTTTAATATAATTACTATTATAATCGCATCAAACCCTCTGAGAAGTTAATTACAAATATGTTAAGATTAAGATACATATCAACTTTAATTGTTAAAACTTTGTCGTGTGCCATCTGCAGTTATCTTGGTCTGTGTGCCATAAAAAAATATACCGTGTAGCTTAATACAAAGGCGTGTATTTGCATGTCTCCTTCATGACAGATGCCCTAAAAATGGTTGCCTTATCTTGCAAAATAAAAATTTGCTTGGCAACTTGGAGAATATGGTCGCAGAGCATAAATATAAACTGATATAGAAATGTATGTCTGTATGTACATACGTACATATATACATACATATGTATTGGGGCAGTAAGGAAAAGGGAGAACTTTCGACGACAACAATTTAAGCGATTCGTTAAGCAGCAAAAAAAAAAACAAAATGCTCAGAACAAAAGAAGGGGAGTAAATTGCTTAAAATTATCACATACTAAAAGACTGTAGCATTGGGACGAGGGGAAGAGCAGACGGAGCATGAGAATGGAGACCAGACCTCTATATCGAGTAAAACTCATAGAGGGGTGGGGGGAGACTGCAATAGCAGGGAATGGATTCTATGCCGAAGGCGACAGGCGCGCGCAAAATGCTCAGCACGAAAATAGCCACGAACGTACAAATCACATTATTAGTCGTCGTCATCTTTGTTGCTGTTGTTGCCGATGTTGCACGTTATTTTTAAAATTTGTATGGAGCGCCCGCCTGGCCAGGCTAAGCTAGGCCGAGCCGGGCCCGACCCGACCCGGCCAGCCCAGCCCCCGTTTGATTTTAGGCGCCAACCAACAATGCCGGCATGGTTGTCGTTGTCAGTAGTGGCGTTTGGCGGCAAATTGTGGCGACACGTCTGGAGCGTGGCATCAGCGTACAACCGGCATTAACAACAGCAATAACAACAAATACACTAAGAGCAGCAACAACAACAAGCAGCAACCGTACATGTGTAAGAGATACAAAGCGATAGTGTGGAAACAAAACAAAAAAAAACCTATAAGATACAAGATAAGAGCAATGCACGAGAGCGAGACGCGACAGCCAACAGACGCCAATGCCAATGGAAATGCGAAGACGAAGACGCCGCCAACAATGAGAAGAAGAAGAATAACGATGAGATGTGAAAGACGAAGGTGAAGTCGGTCGGACAGCATCGCTTGCTGCATCGCATCTGTTATGGCGACGTCAACGGCAGCGGCGACGTTTGCGATGCCAAAAGATACAGATACATATCAAGCACGTCTCAATCATTGAGTCGCGCCATGCCGGTTCGGATAGGTAGGTTTATCCTCCGCTCAATTAACAATGAAAAGTCGGTCTTGGAACGTCATAATATATTTTTATCTGATTACCCGTAACCGCAAGCAGAGGCGCGCACTAGGGGAGTTTTTTTTTTAAATCCACTGGAATTTACGATGAATTGTACAAATCGTGCGTTAGTCCGTCCCCGTCCACGTCAGAGCCGACATGAACATTACATTTCAAACAAAAGCGACCTACACTTACCCCATGGCAGCTCCGGCTCCGCACATCATTATGATCATCATCCTTGTTTCTGCTGTCGTGTACTTTGCTCTGTTGCATGTAATTTTTCGCGTGACTTTTATGTCTAGATACCAAGATCTTCAAGACAGATCTTATTTGTGGCGTCGGCGACAGAGCAACCCAAACTTATCAACAATTGTGACGCCAAATGCGTCATGTTCAGCCAATTGGTTTGGATAACACAAAACTTAAACGGTCAGTGAGCGCGCATGCGTCATTTGAGCCTTAAGCCGCCGGTAGTGGACCAACAACAACCATAGAAATAAGTTGTGACAGATAGTATCATCAAATTGGGCGTCAGGTCACATATCTGTATAGTAGTTGTTACATGGTTGTTTTTTATTAAATTTTAAATTATTAAAAGAAAAATGTTTCGAAATAAAATTGAACTTCATTTGCCTTCGTCTGCATGCAAAGCTAACGGCCAAATGTAAACAACATGCGGTCAGCTGTTGCGGCATCGCGTTGCCAACTGCGTGTGAAAAGCGGAGCTGCCCACATTGTTGCTAACATTAATTAAAATTCGTGTGTTGATTAAAAAGCAAACAGCTTGCAAATATTTTGATATGCATTTAAAAAATAAAGCTTATAAAACTTACGCACTACTCTTTACGGGCATTGTAGCGAAACAAATGCCGGAGCTGTCAAACGTGTAGTTGGCAACACCACGCACCACTACAACTGTCAAAGCAACGCAATAAAAAAAGTTGTCTTGTCCGCATTAAAATTGTAGCGCTGAAGATATTTTCCAGCATTTTGGTAGGTCTTGTTTGGATTTACATTGAACAATTTAGGCTGGAAGTGTAACTAAACAGTGGGTGGTGCTGTTGGACTACTGTATTGTTGACAGTGTTTTGGACACTGGTTAGAAATCAATAAACCCTGCCTGTGGCAACTTATGTAATTGGCAGGAAAGATCATTTTATTTGTTCCGCAAAAGCAACAATCGTATTAAATAGACACTCACGGAGTCTTTTCTTTCGATTCTTAATTGCAGAAAATATGATCCGTGCACCGCTTGTGAAGGCGCTGGGCGCACTGGGCTCACCAACACACCAAATCGCCAGCCGAGCGGTTCGCACCAGCGCCATAGTCGCCCAGACACCAGCCAAAGCGCCCGATACAATTGAAGTCTTTGTCGATGACATACCCGTGCAGGTGCTACCTGGAACCACAGTGCTACAGGTGAGTCTAATACAAGTAACTTTTGTGTATATTCTATGAAAATTGTTTTTGCAGGCTGCCGCACAAATTGGTGTTGAGATTCCGCGCTTCTGCTACCATGAGCGTTTGGCCGTAGCTGGCAATTGCCGTATGTGTTTGGTGGAGGTGGAGAAGAGTCCCAAGCCTGTAGCTGCTTGTGCCATGCCTGTGATGAAGGGTTGGCGCATCAAGACCAACTCGGAGATGACTCGTAAGGCGCGCGAAGGTGTTATGGAATTCCTTCTGATGAATCATCCATTGGATTGCCCCATTTGCGACCAGGGCGGCGAGTGCGATTTGCAGGATCAGGCCATGGCTTTTGGTTCGGACCGTTCACGCTTCACCGACATCAACTACACGGGCAAACGGTTAGTTTCCATCTACTGATGTAATGGCATAAAGGTTGTGCATCAATGTTTCTGCTTCTTCCACATGTGCAGCGCTGTGGAGGACAAGGACATCGGACCGCTGGTAAAGACCATCATGACCCGTTGCATTCACTGCACACGTTGCATTCGCTTTGCTTCGGAAATAGCCGGTGTCGATGATTTGGGCACCACAGGTCGCGGTAATGATATGCAAATTGGCACCTATGTGGAGAAGCTCTTCCTTACCGAGCTCTCTGGCAATGTCATCGATTTGTGCCCTGTCGGCGCGTTGACCAACAAGCCGTATAGCTTTGTGGCCCGCCCCTGGGAGATCCGTAAGGTGAGCAGCATTGATGTGCTGGACGCCGTCGGCAGCAATATTGTTATTAGTACACGCACGAACGAAGTGTTGCGTATCCTGCCGCGTGAAAACGAGGATGTTAACGAGGAATGGCTTGCGGACAAATCGCGTTTCGCTTGCGATGGTCTGAAGCGTCAGCGTTTAGTCGCGCCCATGGTGCGCATGCCAAATGGTGAACTGCAGGCAGTCGAATGGGAGAGCGCCCTAATTGCTGTTGCCAAGGCTCTGCAGAAAGCCAATGGCCAGATTGCTGGTGTTGCAGGCCAACTAGCTGATGTTGAGGCTATGGTGGCGCTGAAGGACTTGATCAACCGCCTGGAGGGTGAGACACTGGTCACTGAGCAGGATTTCATCAAGGGCTCAGGCACCGATGTGCGCGCCAATTATCTACTTAACAGCAACATTGCTGGTGGGTGTCATGCAACGCAAAGTGAGGGCGTATGAAAACCATGTACATATATTCTCTCCCTCAGGTCTTGAAGAAGCCGACGCTGTGCTGTTGGTCGGCACCAATCCACGGTATGAGGCTCCATTAGTCAACACGCGCTTACGCAAGGCTTACGTGCATAATGAGTTGCAGATCGCCTCTATTGGACCCAAGATCGATCTGTCGTATAGTCACGACAACTTGGGCTCTGATGCAAGTCTTATTAAGGACGTTTGCAGCGGATCGCACGCCTTTTCCAAGGTGCTAGAGGGTGCCAAGAAACCGGCTATTATTATAGGCGCTGATATATTGGAGCGTTCTGACGGCGCTGCCATACATGCCACCATTGCTGAGTACTGCGAGAAGCTTAAGAAGCCAGTAAGTTGCTGCAACTCATCAATTTTATAGTTACACCTATCATAATTATCTTTGCAGGATTGGAATCCCTTCAATGTATTGCAAAACAATGCCGCTCAGGTTGGTGCCTATGATGTGGGCTACCAGCCGGGCTTGCAACGTATCAACCAGGCACAGCCTAAGGTCCTTGTGTTGTTGAATGCCGATGCCGGTAAACTGACCCGCGAACAGCTCCCCAAGGATTGTTTCGTTGTCTATATTGGCTCGCATGGTGACAACGGCGCCTCCATTGCCGACGCAGTGCTTCCAGGTGCCGCCTATACTGAAAAGCAGGCAACCTATGTCAATACTGAGGGCCGTGCACAGCAAACACTGCCCGGCGTTTCTCCACCGGGCATGGCACGTGAGGATTGGAAGATTTTGCGTGCACTCTCCGAGGTTACGGGTACTCCCCTGGGTTACGATACCTTGGACGAACTGCGCACACGCCTCGAAGATATCGCGCCTCATCTAACTCGTCTTGGTAAGCTGGAGAAAGCCAGCTTTAATGAACTCAGCCCAAAGACAGCAACCGTGAGTATAAATACATATTAAAGAATTCTCAGCTTGGAATCTGTTCCGCTTTTCCATCTACTTTCATTTGCAGAGCAAATCCATTAGCGGTGGCGCTATCGATGTTAAACAGAAGGAACTGCGTGAATACTTTATGACCGATGCCATATCTCGTGCCTCCCCAACCATGGCTAAGTGTATATCGGCGGTCAATAAGCAGCAACGACAAGACGAGGCCAAGCAGAGTGTGGCCATCTAAATGCCGCATCTAATCTGATATAAATACTAATTAATTGTTATATTTTTTTTTAAACAAAGCTGTTGCTCCTATAATATTCAATCAGCTAATTAACCAACAACTAGAGCAATCGACGAGCAGCAGAAGAGCGGGAGATGTAGTTTATCAAGTAATGAAGGAGGTGGAGTGCGAAATAAAAGAGTTTGTAAATGTCTTTGATTTTGTTGAAAACAAAAACTACACAATACGAAAGATAGGAAAGCCCAAAATAAACGTGAAATATAAATTACGAAAGTGTGTTCATAGTTGTATGTACAGCCATCTCGCTCTAACACCAACATTGCCGCCGACACAGACTACGTTCCTTCATTGAGAATTTTATTCGTAAAGAAACTTGCAATTTTGACAGAAAATAGTTGATCATTCCCCCACGCACAGCTCAGCTCCAAAAAACTCATTAATATCTTCTTCACGAAAGGAAATGGATAAGGTACTGCGATCCTATTGTGTTGTCATTTCTGCCCCTATTTATGTGCAACGACAAGAATAGCTCCTCCTCTTTTTTGCACAATTTGCACACCGATTAATACCCCTGGAATCAAAAAGTACTCCATGATCTTCGACTGCAAATTTACGTTGGAATTGTTCATTATCAATCGTATAATTGACTAATTGTGGTCTGCTCCGATTAAAAGCCATGAACCATACATTTCGACCAGTTAATGTGCAATATGTACATATGGTTATTTACAAGTATATGTTGTGCAGTTGCTTAATTTGTCAAAAAGTCGTTGTCAAATTGCACAGCTTTTAATTTAAGAAATAATTAGTGTTTCTGCATTGCGATTGTCATCGTATTGAACATTTCCTCATCTGCAGAATATGAAACAGTCGTCTGTGTCAGAAGCAACGCCAATTTATCATTGCCATTTTGATAAAATAAATCGCTCAATTTCTAGCCAAATCAATGCTAACTGGTATTTGGTATTTGCCAAAAGATAGAATCCAGAGCTGATGCACTCTACTCTTATTTGTGCCAGTTGTTACGACTCCCTGGAGAAAATACATACATATGTACATATGTTAATTGTTACAAACAAAACACTAAGCGGAAAATTCGAATCCGATTAACGTATGTATGTAAGTACTTGAGTACAAAATAAACTACGTGTTTTTTAGAATATTAATAGGAACATAGAATAAATAAATATAATAATGTACAAAGGTACTGCACTTACATAAGTACATATGTATGTATGTATATACATTTATGTGTTGTGCATACATAAATAGTAATTAGCTTTCGATACCTAGCAAATTAATTTGTTACGGCGTAGTGGAATGTGGAATGAGAAATACATACATACATACTTGTATGTAGTTGCAAGCAAAAATACTTAGCCTAGCAAAGACGGGCAATATCCCCTAGTAAAAGTACATACATAGATACCAATTTTTATAAAATTGTTGAGCCAAGTAGTGCATAGAATTTTGGACCTGAATTTAATCATTTCAGTCTGACGATATCTACAAGTATATCTATGTATATAAGCTCTGCGGATTTCTGTCCTGCTATTCAAAGCACACAAAGCCTATAAAACATTCGACAAGATGATGAAAATAAACTTCAGATTTTTAATTTGAACAGTTTATCTGGGTAGTATTTATTAAATGGACATTTGGGCCAGTTTGACGACTAATTTCAACCATTTGAACCAATTATCATTGTTGGAACCGCTCCCAAGAAATAAATTCATTATTTATCACACAAAATAATAATTTCCTATTTGGATGAAAAATTTTATTTTTCTTACCATTAAAAAAAATAAAGAATTTTCGTTAAACATATAATTTCTTAATTTTGAATTTAGGTCGCATCCGCAGAGGGGCTTGTTGTGATGTCTCCCTCCTCCAGTTCCACTGGAGCCTGAGCGATAATCCCGAGTTGCCACCAGAAATGTGTCCGTATATGTAGGTTAGCGAGTGTTTGTGTGTGCTTTTGCATGTGTGTGAGAATGTGATAGCTATTGTGTGACATTTTCAAAACTATGTATAACAAAACTTGAAGAAACTTTCACTAGGCTGCGGCAACAATTCTAAATAGTTAGTGGGGGTATTGTGGGCGTCGTATGTGTGCGAACGTTGAGCTTTCCGCTTTGCTTAGCTGCAACAGCTGGCTGGTGTGGGGTCCAGACCAGAGCGTTTGGTAATGTTCAGGCGAGTGAACTCCTCAGCTGTCGTGGGATGAATACCCACAGTGTTCATCAGCGTTTTGATCGTTAGGCCAGACTTGAGGGCAGCGGCAAATCCTTGAATTACTTCGCCGGCGACTGGTCCCAAATAGTGCAGGCCATACACGCGCTGCTCGCCATGGCGCTCAGCCACCGCCTTCAAGTAGCAATGACGCACACTCTTCTGGGGTATGAAGAACTCTGTAGGCTTATAGTAGCCATGGAAAACCTCAATTTCATCAGCACCGAACTCCTTGACGGCATCCTCCTCGCTTAGGCCGACACAAGCGTACTCCAATGGTGTGAATACGGTGGTGGCCACATCAGTATAATCCATGCGTTGAGTGGACTCGCCATAGAGGCGACGTGCCAATAAACGACCAGCGAGCACAGCTACGGGTGTCAACTCCGGCTTGCCATAGATAATATCACCGACGGCATAAATATTCGGAACATTTGTCGCCTCATAGGAGTCCACCTGAATCTTATCCTTGAACGTATGGACGCCTGCATTGGCCAAATTCAAGTCGTCGACTAGGCCCTTGCGTCCAATGGCCCACAGCACAGTGTCGAAAGTGTCGGAGCGAACCTCTCCCGATTGGCTGTGCTCATACTTCACCAATAGCTTGCCACTTGATAGCTTTTCCACGGACAGCGGTACATATTGGTACAAGAAGGGGATGCCACGCTCCTCCATCGAATCCGCAACAAGACCGGCCATTTGCTGATCGAAACCACGCAGGACAATGGAACGCACCATGACCGTAGGTTCATAGCCCAAGCCCTTCAGGAAGCCAGCACACTCTAGTCCGATGTCTGCAAAATGGATAGAAACACTTTAAGCTTATCTCAAAATATTGATTGAAATTACAAAGACAAAAGTTACAGCGCTTTAAAAGTGCGTGATGCTTCAATTATATATTATATATGAACATTTATATCTTCAGATATGGATTGATATGTGGATTGATTTAAATTTAAGCGAAGGTTTCAGTGGCATTGCATTGTTTAAATTGCGTCATCTGTACAGAGATGCAAAAATGTTTAATAAAGGAAGGGTATACGCAAGGTATTTTCATATATGTATATAGCAGCTTAGAAAAGTTTTGTACTTGTCCACATTATAGCAACGGCTTGCAGACTTTTTATAAAATGTCGTGCAATATTATTTCGACTTGTGGACTTTCACAAAATAAAAAAAGCAATAGCGAAAACTTACATCCAGCACCCACGACTAGAGTCTTGCCGGGCTCACGATTCAGACTGAAGAGATCGTCACTGGTAATGCCATACTCAACAGCGCCAGGTATGTCCGGATAGCGAGGGCGTCCACCCACGGCAATCACAAATGTCTGACTGGTGATTTTGCGATCGCCACTCTTCATCTTAATCGTCATAGTGTGAGGGTCAAGGAACGAGCCCAAACCATTGATATACTCGACCTTTCTGCGAAAGAACAACAAAATAACAACAATGAGCAAGCTCCAGTTAAAAGTTAGAGGAAACCTACTTGTCACGAAGATCGACGCGTGTAACCCAGTTGACTGACTTAATATGATTCTGCACCGAGGATACTAGCTTGTTCCAGTCTGGCTTGATTTTTTCATTCACATTCCAGCCATAGGCGGCCGCTTCCTGCATTTAAATAAATTTAACAAATTGGTTATTCAAGTGAATTGTATGGGTTGAACCGTCCCATCTATATTATAGCTTTACGTACATGAACCGCTTCACCCAGGAGAGATGCCTGATGCATTAACTTCTTTGGTATGCAGCCAACATTGACACAAGTGCCGCCAACGCCCCATTTGGTGCCCAAGGGCGTCGGTTTAACATAATCCAGACAGACAACGCGAGCTCCGCACGCCACAGCTTCCTTGGCACATGCCAGACCCGCCGATCCACCGCCAATTACAATCAAGTCGTAGTCGTAAGGACCTGAAATAAATATACAAATTATAATGGTAATGTTAAAAATGCACAGTAATGGCTAGAACTGCCAGTCAGTGCCCATTCATGTTATAGTTATGACGTCATGATCACATTCAGTCACGTAAATTTTATATTGTAGAGATAGCATGAAAAAAACCAAAAGTGCATTTATTGCTGATAATGACGCGACACCTTTGCTGCCTGTTTCCAATATGACATCTGACTCGGGTCTAATCACCACTTCGTCATCATCGAGGTCCTCCCTATCCTGCTGCTCTTCGCCTTGTGGATCCATTTGGCGTAGACGGATATGCAGATAGGCTGAACGATAAATACTGCGGGAATTTTGTTGAGGTTCAGATTCAGCCACAGATGCGGGCACAAACTCAAAAAGGCGCATACAGGCCAATGCACGCTTTGAGCCACCCGGACCAACTGAACCGCTGTTGCCAGGGCTAGTTTTACATCCATCTACAACAGTTTCACTTGACTTAGGTGTGTCCCGTTGATGACGTTCCACACTCAAATGGACGTCACTAGTAGACATTAATAATGCATAGATGAGTGCAAATCAAACTAGAGCAATCATCTATCTATCTAATACAACAATCCCTTGACATGTGGTTGGTTGGTTTGGTTTGGTTTGCTTTGACCGAAATGCTTGCCATGGTTACGGGTGTTCATTTACATGAAAACCATTTGTTAGATGTTACACCCCCTTACTCGCACCCTCAATCACTTAACGATTAGAAAAAAGCTGATTATTAAAAAAGTCGTGAAGTTGTTAATGTGCGCATTGTTGTAGTGGCTGTTGCTAACGATGAGATGACGCAACGATTATAAATTAAAATAAGTTAACGCTTGATGCATTATAAGGCAACAGAGAACACCCTCGAATATTCTGGCTGCCAAGATTGATAGATGATTATAAAAAGGTGCTTATGAAAAACTGTGACACTGTTGGAAAGTTTTAAAGTGTACATTAAGCTACGCACGTACATAGATACATACTTGTACATATGTATGTATGTGTTTATTTGTCTTTGAATTTCACCAGACAAGGCGAAGGCGGCATGACAATGCAAAACAATAACTAACTGTGAAAAGCAAACCGGCAAACTAACTCTTGATAAGCAAAAATTGTCGATGAAAGAATCGACGATAGCGAGGTGGGGCGGGATTTTAGAGGGCACAATCAACAGCAACAGATATTGCATAACAAGTTAAAGCTTGATTGCTTCTTGATATGGCCGTTATTTATATTGTTGTTGTAGCAATAAACAATCACTCGCAGTCTACTTCAGCGCTCACATTTAAAGAAAATACTTCCCGCGGGTCATACACGATACAGCAGCATGGTATTAGTTTATGAATAACCAACTTTTACTTTTTGAGGTAAACATTCTTTTGATTTTTAATTGTAATGCAAGCGCGATTGTCATGTTATCGTTTTGTCTACACACGCAGCAGAATATGCATGAAGCTGCAGTACACGCTGCGATTATCATTATCGCGAGTACCCCCTGCCGTTACACACACTCACTCACACACACACACACACACAAAATCCCTTTTGTGTTCGCTGTTGCATTTGTTGCTTTTGCTCACCACGTGTTATCCTGTTCCTGCGTGACTCATAATCATACATGGCTATACGATCACAATGTGGGTGCTCGAATGGGATACCGCCGCCGGCAGCACCTTGACTCATCGAGGCATTCCTAGTGTACCGCGGTTGGGACGATCCACGTTGGTTGTTTGTGGGGTTTCGAGAGTTACTTGGCGCTCTGCCGCCATCGCCACCAGTATTCGTTTTCATTAGGTTCAATGCAAAATGTCGTCTTTGTAGGAAATTTTGTGATAGATGTGAACTATTGATAGCATTTTCTGTAAGTGCCGTCCTAGCTGATGTAAATATCGTTGTGTGCTGGCGAACTAACGTTATTGAAAATCTCGAATTCCAGAGTGTGAGTGACATTTTGGGTACTTTTATTATTATTTTTATATTATTTGAACTATCACAAGACCGTCTGTTGTAACCTGTTGCAACTTTTCGAAATTATTTTGCTCTAAGCAATCAATATTATGATGATTAAAAGCCACAAATGCAATGCGCATTGCTTATGTTGTGCAAAGTTTTGTTGGCGAAAGCAGCTAGCAGAGACAAAGGAAGAAGCACAGAGCACAATTGAAATTGGAAAGCTTGGAATGTACGACGGCCGCAGCAGAGCCAGCAACGAAAACAGCTACGTAACAGAAGCGCCGATGCGAACGCGTGTCGAAAAGGGAACAACAAAAAAGCTTATGAAGAGTAGAATAGCCGGCAGGGTGGTCAAGCAACTTGCCGTCAGCAGCCATTGATTTACTTATGCATACAATTCATGCGCGTTTGGCTGAAACAACAATACTAATACTATACTTCTACATCTGAGATTAACATTAAAAAAATCGAATTGGAAAACGCAACAGTTGGTTTCCATTTAGACCTACAGAGTTGCCACTAAGCGCGAACATGACATTTTACAAACAAATATTGGTAATAAAACTCTGCATTTATAAAAATATCTACACACACCCTAGTCAATTTAAACGGGTGGCTGTGTTTTGTTCAATCTTGTTTTGGGCTTTTTACAAATGCATTCATTTCGGGCCGTTGGCAACACTGTCGTCAGCTGGCCGCAAAAATTATAGGTCCCTGTGGAAACGTAAATACATATGTATAAATACACACGTACAAATGTTAAAAAAAAGCACGTTAGCGATAAAGACAATTTAGCGGGTACGACATCGGGTCCAACTATTACCAGTCAGTCGTCTTAGGAGGTATCAGTCAAACTGCGTGTTTTTCCACTATTTCATATTGTACAATTTTTATTGTACCGTCTTGCTTAATCTTTCAAGTATAATCGGCGGCGACGAAGGAGAGTTCGCGCGCGATTAGATTTCAAGACGGGAACGTGGAAGGTGCATAAATAAAAATTAAGGCTAACAACATTTACACAAAACAGTACACGGTGAGGGCAAGTGGCAACATTTAGAATGAACTCCATTTTGATAACGGGCTGCAATCGGGGTTTGGGCCTAGGTTTAGTCAAGGCCCTGAACAACTTACCGCAGCCGCCGCAGCATCTTTTTACAACTTGCCGTAATCTGGAGCAGGCCACTGTAAGTTCCGTGTCCAAAAGTACTTTTGTGTTAAGTCATCACTACTTAAGACGACGCCATTGTCTGACTCACACACACGCGCATACATACATACATGAATAAAAAACGCTATGGGCAAAAGATCAACTATCCAACTGGACGCCCACTTACCGTTTTCTGTTACGGGCGCCATGTTTTGTAAATGTTCCAAGTGTTTAATGCTAATTAACACGATAAGTAACAGTTGTTGCAAAATCTTTTCGCAAGCTTCCGAAAGAACAACAGCAAATATGGAAACAGTTCAAGTCTGGCGTAGAAATAGTAAATAATAAATACTTTCCGGTAGATACTTTCGTTCGCGAACGTAAACGTGAAATAAGCGGCGTAAAACTTTTGCATTTGCTTTTGTAGGCTTTCCGGCGTCTCACAGCAGCTGCGTTTGCCCTTCCAAGAATGGAAAAAATTTAGTGTTGGATAATGCTAATCCGCTCAGAGCTGCATTACGTGTTCAATAAGCTTGTACTTTGGCGCCACAGTACTTTTAAATAACTACGATTTGATTATTTTTAAAATGTTTTTTCTATTTTTTTAAGGAACTGCAAGCATTGTCGCAAGAGCATTCAAATATACATATACTAGAAATCGGTAAGTGACTGTTATTAAAGCTCAACTGGGTACTTATTGCAAGTTGTCTCGTTTATCTGCAGATTTAAAAAACTTTGAATGTTACGATTCGCTTGTCTCCCAAATTGCCGACGTCACCAAAGATGCAGGTCTCAATGTGCTGTTCAACAATGCCGGCGTAGCGCCCAAGTCAACACGCATTAGTGCCACCAAGACGCAGGAGTTGTTGGACACATTTCAAACTAACACTGTGGTTCCCATTATGCTGACCAAGGTTAGTGCACAAGAGTTGATCCAGGCTTGACATTAACATCACCAATTTTGTTTAACAACAGGCTTGTCTACCGCTGTTGAAGAAGGCATCGCAGGCCAATGCGAATGAATCCATGGGCGTGAAGCGTGCCGCCATCATAAACATGAGCTCCATTCTCGGTTCGATTGAATCGAACAAAGAGGGTGGCCTATATCCGTACCGCACCTCCAAGGCGGCGCTGAATGCAGTAACCAAATCGATGAGTATTGATTTATATGTCAACCGAATACTCTGTGTTAGTCTTCATCCAGGATGGGTCCGCACTGATATGGGTGGAAACAATGCACCCATGGATGTCCAGGCGAGCACTACACAGATTGTAGAGACATTGTCGCAATTTGGTGAGACGCACAACGGTGGCTTCTATCAGTACGACGGTGCAAAGCTGCCATGGTAAGGAAAATGCAACGTGAAGGTCTTTGTCTATATACGCCTTACTTACATTAAATGCTTTATATTTAATCGATATAAAACTATCGTAATAGCCAAATAAAATAAAATACACATAAATATGTTACACAAATGGCTAAACTTAATAAATTGCTTGCTATAGTCGAGAACCGCATCTTACTTTTGACGCGGCGGAACCTTCGCCACGGGTACCTTGGACATGTCAGAGTTGCCCGGAGCACGCGACTGCAGGCGTGGCTGGGGAATGTTATCGTTTCCATTATTGGAGTTGTTGCCAACGTCAGCGGGCATGTCGAGACGCTGTGGCGAGACTTTGGCCACGGGACGTACATTTACAGGTGGGCCTCCACCTTCATGTGCGTTTCCTCTATTAGTGATAGTGGTAATGGTTGCGTTGCTGCTGCCATCGAGAGGAAACGGCACACGTTTGCGCAAGTCCAGCCGTGGGCGACGGCTATTAGCATTGTCGGCCGAAACTGATGGCGGATCATTCCAACCGGGTGTCAATGAGCCTATTAGAAAATGTCATATTTTAATAATATCTAATCAGCAGCTACAAATTTTACCAACTAACCAGGAAAGGCACCAGGAGCAATAAATTGCCCAGTTGGTGGTGGTGGTAACTGCCCCGATGGCGGTTGATTATTTTGTTCATTATGTTCACCGTTGTCACCCATTTTGTATATGTTGTTGCGTATTTTTCTCTTTATTTTTGGATTTTGTTTCAGATATTTATTCGTTTTGGAATTTAGAGAAACAAATTTATCATAAAGAATTTGTTTACAGCGTTGAATCAGCTGTTTTAATGATGTTTCAATGTTGCCAGAAAGCTGACGGGCTACTACGACGTATGACTGGAATGTGAAAGCGCGCAGCGTTTGTAGCAAGGTGGCAGTTTGAAATGCTGATTGGTAGCTTTTAAACACTGTCTAGTCAATATATAGGCGTTTGTCGATCGATAAATATTGCGAATATCGATTGATACTTTAGCCACAAAAGATTGCGCAAGCGTGCAACCCCATTAAATTTCTGTTTAATTTAATTAGTGCCCTGCTTCAAAAAATAAGAATAAATAAGGTTAGCGATTGGTAAGCGAGCCCAAAGTCGAAAATATTTACATGGGTAAGGCTTCACTCCATGACTCCGTATAGATAGTTGTTTGCTGAAATATTTAAGAGTTAAGCGGCTTTTATTTATCTATTACATGCATAATTGCTTTTAATTCCTCTGCTGTGCTTTGGGTCTCTTACAATAGCCGCTGTCACACGCACAAGAGTCTTAAGTCTAATCTTGTGCAGTGGCCAGCAGCTGCGATAAGCACCGTTAAGGCTTAAGTTCACTAATTAACTGCATAAACTTGTATTTGCGCATATGCACAACATGATGAACGGAGAGTGATGGCTTCTTTGATGTCAATCGCAGGAGTCGCGCTCCTAACGATTAATAAATGATGAGTGGAACATATGCTCGAGTTCCATCGAGTCCCGGTCGCGTACGTGCTGGTCTTAGTGTTTGTCCATACTTACATATACAAGTACATGCATGCATACATTTATAGACATACTTGATTGGCATGTGCTTCAGTGGGCGGCCATTGGGTGGCACGTTGCATGTTTTTAAATATTTGATGCTCAACTAGTTTGCTCCATCGATGTCTTTTAATATGCTTTAAAATGTATCGATTTTCAATTTGTCAAATCGAACCGATTTAAGTTTCGTTCTTAATTTTATTTATAAGTCAGCCTAAGGGTATGCTTTCAAGTGGGGCTCACGTTTGTTAAAATTAAAAGTTTGTAAAACGTGGACTCATTTATCCTTGTTTATCCTTATATCATTGGCATATGTTAAACCTTTTTCACTTGTTACACTTAAAAAAATATAATGGAAAAGACAACTTTCTCAAAAGATTTCATTTATGTTTGTCTATTTGTCCTGTTCGTTTGGATTTTGACTGCAAACACTTGAAAAAAAATAGGATGAGCTTTAATAACAACGCGCTCGCTGACATCCTGTGGTCAACGTTATTGGTGTTGTTGTTGTTGTTAGTGTTTCCGCTGCTGTTGCTGCTCGTTGATTGTTGTCGCTTAATTAGCAATATTTAACTGAGACAATGTCCACGCTGCCGTGTCGCTTTTATAGTTGCCAGGCTTGCACGACCGACCAACGGCCGGCGACGTGGACGATGAAGCTGACGCCGGCATCGACGCCAGCGTTCACGTCGACGTCGACAGAGTCGCGTCTACCTTTGCGCCCGTTGCACCCCTCCAATTGTTTTGGCTTGTTGTTGTTTGCTGTCGTTGTTATTGCTGCTTTCACGTTTTTAAACTGCAAGCCATTTACAAAAACAACACACATAAAAACTAGCAAATGTACAAACAAATGTATGTACATACATGTGTACATGTTTATGCATGCATGTACTTGTATGTCTCTGTTCGCGGTTGTGTATAAAATTTTAAAGAAGTTTAGCAGCAACTGCCAACGACAGCAAACGAACCCAAACGAAGTCTTACATGTACATTGCACACACATACATATGTATGTATGTACGTTCATTCACATACTCAGAAACAGGTATGTGAACAATATGGATGCATGTGTTTGTGCGCCCCGATAATATTGTTAGAAATATTGAAATAATTAGTGGCCCAGTACCAATTGCGACGACAGCCTGGTCATCAAATTTGCCAACAATGTACATATAAGCGTAAATCAGTCACACACTCGCACATGCAAGTACATTAATAATTGAATTGACTGATTTTAGTCCTTTTTACACTTGAAAGCTAGGTCTTACTGATCGTCAAGTACTGAAGTCAAATGCTGCATACCTTTAGGCACCACGATCAACCTCACTTTGTTTATATTAAAAAATTGGTGCTATAATTCTTTAAATGTGACAGCTTAATCCAGCTGTACATTAAAGCGGAATGCAAAAATTGTCCATAGAATATGTCTATAGGATTGTACTTAAATCTATACAAATTACAAATTATTTACATTATATTCAAATTACTGTAGAATATAAAATATACTGGAATATTTTATGATGTAATTTAATGATGTAATCTCGTGAGGAGATACTTTTTCAATCTTCACTTTCTTGGCCATTCTAATAATAATTTTATGCCAGCTCCCTTGCATTTCTGATGATGCAGCTAGATGCATTTGAATATGTTCTGCTAGAGCGTCCAGGTCGCAAAAATTACACCAAATAATCTACACTCAACGTAAATTAGAACGGAATGTTTGCCATGTTATAGAAATGAACTTGGAAGCGGATGTTCTTAAAACAAATAGAAAGTTCGTTAATGACCTGAAATATGAAAAATAGCTTACTTAAAGTGAGTGAAAACATTTCTTCAGTTGATGCTCATATAGTAAGGGAGTGGGGAAAATGTGTATTTATATTTATTTGATGACTTTTCATGCCATTTGTGCATAGTTTATTACAATTTGTATAAAACTCTGGACTAATATTAGTAACAATATTAGTGTCAAGCCATCATTTAATGGCTGGGCTTATAAATATACTTGAAACGAAAGTTAAGATGTTAAGATGCTGTTACAGGCTTTGCTGTCTTATGAAATGGTTGACGTTCGTTTTAAACCTAAAATTGCGATTCGGTTTAGTTCGATAGTTGACATTTTGTTAGGTTTGGCCAAAATGAAAAACGTGGAAATGAGAGACGGGCCAGATATGTTCTAAACTTAATTTTGGTATTTTGTTCTTTACATCGACTTATTCCTTAATTGATTCTAAAACCTCGAGGAGTATGTAGAATAGAAGATAAGTTTATTAAAAGATTGTAGCCTTGGAAAAAAGTCGTGCTTCAAAATGAAAACATGAATTTCTTGGGATTTCTAAATCAGCCTCATACCATAGAAAATCGAATGGTGTAATGCCTAATAAATCAACCAAATTGGTAGCTGCTTATGTGCCTTTTGCTGAGGCCTTCAAGTACATAGTTGCTTGACCTCTCCCATATTTATGCGCTCCTAAAATCTTAACCAAAACCACAGTCATGCTCACATGCTTGGTCCGTACTAGTGCCTAAGGATAGCTTATGAGTGCTCTGTGTAAGTCGTTCAGACTTAAATGTATGTATTTATATACGAGCATGTGTTTGTCGACACACGCATTGGTAGGAAAACATAGAAAAACCAGAGGTGCGACATTTTCAGCACGAAAAGCGTAATGTATAGGCCAACAGTTGACCATTAACCGAACTGCCTAATGCGCTTCCAATGACACATTTCAAAGGAGCCAAAAACAACAACAACAACAACAACAAAGAAACGAAAAAACAAAACCAAAAAGGAAATAAACAGAAGAAAAGGCAGAAAAGTGAGGCAGGTTTCGAAATCGTTTCAATTGTTTCGACAGTTTCCGGTTATTGACGTCGTCGTCGTCGTTGCCGTAGGACTCGCACTAGGGCTGAGAATAGGACTGGGATTGGGATTTGGATTCTGATGGTTTGAGAGGGTTGCTTGACATTTGGCAGACGCGCGTAGCTCTCGACGCTTGAAGTCGAAGCCGAAGCCAATTGGAAATACGATCCATGTTTAGATATGCAATTGCAATCTAGGGTTGCCAGGCGCACTCACGCACACACTTACAGGCAAATGCACAATCAGAACGACGGCTACGTCGACGCCGATGCCGACGCCGACGCCAATGCCGATGTCGATGCGGACGCCGACTGCGACATCGAAAGCAACAGAGACGTTAAAGCTAACGATGTCGATGACGATGTCGACGTCGACGGGGAGAGGGACAGGGAGAGGGAGAGGGAGAGAGAGAGCTGCGCCGCCTTGGGGTCGAGCGGGCACAAGTGAAACCTATGGCAGCCACACGACGTAAGGGCGTTAAAAAATTAAATAACATTGTTTTATGTGAGCGCGGGACGCGTTGGTCGGGACGCTCACTTGTATGGCATCGGCGCTATCGAAGGTATCGAAGGCCCATGCCGTTTGGAATGCTTCGCTGCGTGCGCCCGTATAACGCTTTCTTTTTTCCCTTCGTCTTCCTCTTCATTTTCTACCTTATGCCTTCTGCCTTCTACTTCTGCCGTTGCTGGCCATGAGTGGCCAGTGTGTGTGCGTGTGTGTGCGTGTGTGTTCGAGTGTTCAAGTGTGGGCGGACTACTAACACTTGTACGCTTCACGGCTTGGGCCGCAACCGCTCAGTCCGTGGGGAATCTCAACAAGGTAACGAGCAAGAGCTTAAGCGGCCACTGAAAATGGCGCGTATCAAGTGACAGATTGTCTGCTGCAAAGAGGACGCCGGAATGGCGAGTGCGGTGGGTGTGGTGCGGTGCAGTGCGGTGCAGTGCGGTGCGGCCAGGAGGGCTGTTGGGATGCTCTTGGGGTGCTGGTTAGTAAAACAAACTAACTTACTACTACTAACCATACAATTGCTGAGCGTTCTCAGCTCTACTCGTATTTGCGCTGTCCGTTGTTTTTCTTTTACTCTGTTTCTGTTTCTTTTTGTTTTTTTTTTCTTTAGTAATGCTATTGTGAAACCATAATTTCAAAGCAGGTTCACACACACATGCTAGGGTTTGTGGTGGGAGGGGCGGGCAAGGCGTGGCGTACGGCATCAGATAAATTGCTTTTATCGCACATAATTGCTTTATAGTACAACTAAATGTTTATACTTGGAAATACAATTTTTGCTGAAACACTTTTAATCGATTTCGAATTTTAGAAAAAGCAGGTTCTGGTATAGCTTCTTCTGTAAAATCTGTTTGCTTGAGCATTGGTTTATTTTAATGTCCAATGTTCATCAGTG